TATCCGGAACGACGCTAACGAAGAATCTGTGGGCTGTCGTTTAAAAAGCAAACTATGGTTATTTTCGGACGTAGAATAAGTGGTTAAAATAATGCCCCTTCCTCACGAAACACCCTGCATATATAGAAAAATAATCAGATCCTTTACGCACCCTTGAAAGTCTATGAAAGAGCTCATATTTCTAATAATTTTCTTACACTTCGTCGCAAATACTTTTAATCCTTTGGATACTCTTAATACGTAACTTGTCCACTTTTCCTTTAAAATCATGTTCGAGAAACTAGCAAGTGAATAAGCAGAGAGCATTTATTCAATTTTTTTTACTGTTGTTTTTTTTTTGTTCAGCTATAGTAGTTCTGACACTATTTTTTTCACATGCATTGTTATTCATTTTCACACTATTGTTTAATGTGATATGAGTGATAGTTGACACTATATATGTCTGGTACATTCTAAAATTGACATCGTTACATAAAAATGTTCGTATATAAAATGTGTAGCCGAATAGCTCGGGTTAGCTACATTGCTAGACGATTGCTTAGTGAGACAAAGACTAAGAAACACACAGTAGCTGTAATTGGAGCCGCCGGAGGAATTGGTCAACCGCTTTCTTTACTTCTGAAGCTAAATCCCGGAATTGGGGAACTCAGACTTCATGATATTGTTAATATTCCTGGTAACTAATTATTTAAACTTTTAATCAACAACTGCCTAATAAAATAATCTGTTCATGATCGTGCGGTGTCACATGATTATTGTGGTATTAGTCATACCAAAGCCCCGTTTTTTACATGTTGAATGGTTTGCAAATTCAATATATTAAATTAGAAAAACTTGCAACTCTAGAAAATTAAATAAATTGCCATCTTGAGTGCACTCTGTATGTTATGGACATCTAGCGTACAACGCAGTGCCTATTAAAGAGATTTCCCATTTTGGGGAAAAAGAGAAATTCAAGAAATGAAAAATCGAAATCTAGACACTTATTTATATTGAGTGCCCCACGAACGTGGGCTGCTGCCTGGAACTCAAAAAATATGGTTACAAAATTCTCAAAAGTTTAAAATATTAGATAAATAACGAAAATATTGATTGAACAGAAAGCACGCTCAAAAGATTGAGAAAATCAATCGTTAACCTAAGACTTAACGGCATTAAAAGAATTCACATTTCAAGGCATCAAACATCAACCATTCCAAACATTTCCATATAAATTGGGAAATAGTTCGCCTGAAGATGAATGTAAAACCGTCAAAATGTCGTTTCATATTATTTTAATAGATTCAAGACGCATCAGATTAATAAAGCTGACTTTTTTGCAAGCTCAAACACTTAAAAATTCAATACATGTGCTCTTCAACTTGAATTTAGGTGTTGCGATGGATTTATCTCACATTGAAACTGCATCCAAAGTCACCCATTTTACGGAAAAAAGTTCATGTGCTGCGCTCAAAGGAGGTGTTGATATTATCATAGTGGTCGCGGGGCTGCCACGAAAGCCTGGCATGCAAAGAAGTGATCTCTTTAAAGCGAATGCTCAAATTATTTTTGATATTGCCAAGGTAATCATGCGTTAAATAAGCGATAAATTGACATAATCGTAGATCATTCCAGAATATGGCAGAACTCTCTCCAGAAGCGATTTTGCTGATCGTAACAAACCCGGTAAATTCAGTGATTCCAATAGCATGTGAAGTTCTGAAAGATGCAGGAAAACTATGCGCTCGTCGAGTTATTGGAGTGTCTACCTTAGATTCAGTTAGAGCCGCGACATTTATAGCAGAATTAACTTGCTGCGACCCTAGAGATGTGACTGTCCCTATAATTGGTGGACATTCTGGAAATACCATTCTGCCTTTAATATCTAAGTAACTCAATATTAACGGTTTCTTTTTCATAAAACTGTATAAGTTATTTTTTGACATTGAACCTGTAGGGCCAATCCTAAAGTTTCCATCGAAGGGGAGAAACTAATGAAACTTATTAAGAGGATTCAACAAGGCGGTACAGAGGTAGTTGAAGCAAAAGCCGGAAAAGGCTCGGCAACTCTATCCACTGCCTATGCAACTTCCAGACTAGTTTTTGCGATCCTTCGAGCATTTGGTGGGGAGTCTAATATTGTAGGTAAGAAATTATTTTCTATTTATTTAATGCAAAAACCATTCTAAAAGCCAGTTGTTTAAACTCAGTGGTACCTGATCTCAAAACTTTTTGAGAAACGCAGATTTTTTCAAGAATTAGTGATGTTATTATTTAGCATATTTTTAACTAATGTAAGCTTTCAACACGCGTTGAACACACATGAACGGCGCACTGAAGCTCTTTCCTTAATTTCTGACAAAATGTCGATATATTTAACTATTAAAAAATGTTAAATCAGATTCTGTTAATTTACTGGGTGTTTCAAATTAAGCTTCTTTTTTCGTTTGACGATGTTGGATAGTAATATTTAACAAGTGCAGCAAAAATAATAAAAATAAATTGAAAACGAAGATTTTTGCTTAAAACCGAATCCGAAGCATGGTAACACTGCCTTTGTCTGCACTTGCAAATTATTTCTTCTCATCAACGGTGCATAAATATATGTTGCTTTATGCGTAATTCAGGAAAGGTATCAGGTGAAACTAAAATGCATCATTTTACTAAAAGAATTGCAAATTTGTGACGTCATCAATCGATTCAGAGGAATGGAATGATTCAAATTAGGCTAGAAGACGCCTCAAATTAGGCTAGAAGAAGAGACTAGCGACCTGCCTGAGTAAAAAAATTAAGATGCGCATTGAAACGATCAAAGAGCCTCGGATATAGGACGGAATAAGTTAAAGACGACTCTCGCTAGAAATAGGACTACGAGAAGGGATACCGAACTAAGAGTGGCATGCAGGAACATTCGATCGTGGAAAGAGACCAAGAGATACTTATAGGAACGAATCGAAATATACGTACTCTCAGAACAACAATAGATTACATAATAACCATCAGCCTTGACATCGACCAATTTCGGAGCAGATCATATCTTAGTGCTAGGCAAAATTTGAATCAAGCTCCCACCAAACAAGAAAAAGCCCCCAAATATGCCGAAAAGTTAAACATAGAGTCTTTAGAGGACCAAACTACGAAGTAGTTTTACAAACAACGGCTAGCAGAAATATTCAAGATACATCCTTTAAAAAAAGAGGAAAATGTAAACGTACTCTGCACAAAAATAAAATCGGACCTACTACAGGCTGCAAAAGAACGTATAGGAATTAGGAAAATTAACTTAAATGCAACAAATGTATCAAAGTGATGGTTTGGATGTGATGGTGGATATCTACAATGGTTCTAGTAATAAGACGCCTAACAATTATGAGCAATACGAGGATACAAGAAGCCATGTGAAGAAATATAATATTTGACCCGGTTTAGCAAAGAGGTGGAACACGACCTTTATGCGATCTTCCGACCTTGTGGTGATCGGGGAAGATCATTAACTTCCCAGAATTACATTCAAACCACATTCTACTCCTGATAACTTGGCTGAACTGGAAAACGCGGTTCTTCAAGAATGGCACAACATACCCCAATAATTCATTACAAACCTTTTTTAAGGCATTATAAGACGTTTGAGGGGCGTTATTCGAGCTAGAGGCGGCAATACACGCCAATGAATCGGCTAAAGACCGAAACTTTACCTGAATTTCAAAATATAATTTTCATTAACTTTTACCAAAAATCTGATAAGCTAGTGATACATGAGTTGTTTTAATTTTTCTTTCAAAAAATTTCTCATATTAATTTACGAAACATTAATTTGGATTTTGATAAAAGTATGTAGGGTTTATATAATTTGGTCTTTGAAATTTATAGATGGTGCGCTAATTTTGCCCATCAGTGTATCTAAAGTTGTCAATTTACTAGTTAATTCGATGTTGGAAGACAGGAATAAGTGAATATAATAATGTAAATGTGTGTTTTGGTCCCAACTGCAACAGTTTCCATATAATCTACGAGAAAGAGTTAGTTTTTTCTCAAAACAATTTACTCCACTAATACATATTTTTTTGTATAGAATGCGCATATGTTAAGAGCGACGTCCACCCAGAACTAAATTATCTCGCCACACCCTTAATACTAGGTCAAAACGGGGTGGAGAAAAACCTGGGAATCGGAAAAATGAGTGAATGCGAACAGAAGCTCTTCTGCGAACTAATCCCCAATTTGAAGAAAGATATTGAGGATGGGGAAAAATTTGCAAAAGAAGCTCTTTGCAACACCAAGTGCGAAAAGTAACTTGAGGTCATCGGACGGCAATGTGGCTTTCAGACACTGCTCTCAATTATCAATTTCAATTAACTGTCTATAGATAAAAGAAATCAATATATGATCGATAATATGCATGGATACATTCTTATAGCAATTGAAGCAAGGTAACGGAAAAACTTGAAGCATAATGAATCGAACGTTGTAACTTAAAGTCTTTATTTCTGGCATGGTTTTATTATTAAGAAAATAATTTGGAAATAGTAGTGTGATAGAGATAATGCCATACAATATATTCAACTTATGGTGTTTAAACTTACAGAAGTAGAATGTAGTTGACTTTCTAAAGCTGCGGAAATGCCTTTTGAGTCGATTTTTGCAACATCCACTTAACTCCTTTTGAAAGTTATTTTTTAATTAGTTATATTTTAATATTCTGATTTATTTTTCTAACTGCGTGTACTTGTTATGATATTCTTATCTTTCCTGGGTCTCAGTCAAAGTGTAAAGTAAAAATTTTGAATATCGTTTATTTCATTACGCTTCGGCGAGACAACAGCGCCATCATCAGATTTAAAATTTGCCCAAACTACAAACACCAATTCACAATTAAAACATGTTGTATAAAAACTATAATTTATAAAGTGTTAAAACATTCATCAGTTTTTGAAGGAAAAGCTCCTTCCTTTTGGGAGAGCAAAACACTGGAAAAACTTACCTCAGGATTGGTAAAAATCAACGTTCTTTTAGGTCTTTGCCTTCTTGAAACCTTAAATTTATCTGAATTATTTTCGACATTTGCGGGAGTGGTATGCATGTATTGAGATAAGCATAAATAGTTTTCGTTTTTTACTAGTGTACTGGGTGTTCCATCCTTATCGCTTTATTAGGGTTTGGTAAATGTTGCTAAGGGCGACGGTATCTGATCTGAAATTTACTGCTTTTGGATTCTTCTTTTAGGATAATTTGCTTTCCTAACTAGACCAACGCAGATATATTTGTTGGCCAGACCATACAGGTACTTCCATTTGAAAAACAAAACTTATATTGCGTTTTAAAGTTTTACAATTAAATCCACATTGTTAACTCCCTGTATAATATTGTACATTGTATTGATATTTTGATATCAATAGAATTAATATCAAAATTGATTGATGATCAATAGAATTCTTAACAGATCTGTGGTGATTGAAAAGATGTATTTTTTGGTATCTTTAACTGTTTTTTTCGCTTCTACAATAAATTTTTAGATACCATGTTTTTAATCAAAATGTTAGTAAAATGGCGGTAATCTACCAGTGCAAGTAAGAGAAAAAAACAGATTACGATGCATATGCAGCGTTTCAAGCTGCATGAAAAATTTCAGCTAATGTAAAATGATTTTCTGAGACACTCTATATCATATAAAATATTTTTAAAATGTGTGCACTCTGTGCGTCAACAACTTTTATATGATGTTTTTCGAAAGTACAACACCAACGGAAATATTGGACTCTCCCGCACTAAAAATACACCCTGTATATGTATCTTCTACTATAGCTAAACAATACTTTCCACCAGCGCATAAAGAAAAAACTTTTTCTTGATCCCCTAGTGGAAAGTACACAGTTTCGCCACTGTAGACCGGAAACAAAATGTAAAATTTCTAAACCAACAGCAAGTTGGAAAACGTCTAATGCACGCTATACGTAAAACACCCTGTATAAACGCTTTTGTTAGCTAGTCGCTACTTGACTAAATAGTATATAATTTAAGTGTTTACTACGTTTTTATTCACTTGATTCATTGTTTCTAGGTATTATGAAGCAGTCTTCACTTCGTTCTAAAACTGGCTGTTAACATTGTGCTGGTACTTAATTACCTTGAAAAGATAAGAGTTAAGCTAAACGTTATCAATGTTACCTTCGCTGACTATGACGCAAATGAACCATAAATACAGAGTAAACAATTTACATCCTTTTTTCATAATGACATTAATTTATGAATAATTTCGACGTAGTTTGTGTACTGGAAGAGCCACGACTTTTAAACTAACTGTTCATTAGCATTATTATTAGCATCGAAAAATAGAAGTACTGAATTTTTTTAAATAATTGAAACTTAATTTTTATACATGAATCTCAAAGTGGATTCGATGTTGCAAGTTTCATTAAAATCGCCTGGTGTCCTTATTTGTGTCAGCATAGTAAATATCTGTGTGACCCATCCGGTTCCGAGACGCATTCGTGCTTTTCATAACTGTTGGTTGTTTTCCGAGGCAGGGTAGTTAGCCCTACGCTTAGCCTTTATTTTGGTTCACGAGTAAAAATTATTCGCTTCTTTTCCATCTTTAGTGCTTTATCATTGTAGCATAATTGTAAAAACACCAAAATAGATAAATAATATAATTGTCAAAAAACTGTGAAAACGTAATCACCAAACAAATAGAAGAAGGAACTGTTGTACTTGTACCGATCAAATATTTTCACAGTGTAACACTTAATCCCGTACGAATTGTATTCAAACTAATATATGAACAATATTCATTACTGGTGTAGGTTTTTCAAACGTTTAACTTGTTATTATCGAGCAAATATTGTTTCTGGCTCCTGCTGAAATGAATTGTATCTGATAAATTGAAAGTTAAATAAAAATATTTGCAGCACAACATATTAATAAAACTAATGTTTGCGAAGAACCTAATTGGTGTTTATAATTTTAATAAAACTGTGTGGATTTATGGAACTGGCGATAGAAAGGTAAATAATTGAAAAACTACTTGTCGCGTGTTCGAGTTGTATTTGGAAATTAAATAATATAAAATAATTATTTTTGTCAATAAATGTTCTAAGAGATCTTAGTCTGTTTACAAGCACTTCTAATGTCAATAGGTAAATAGCGATTTGTGCAAACAGCTGCAAGCATTAAAAGGATAATTAGTGAGTGTAAGTTACAAGCAGTAAATTCTTTAGTCGAGTGACATGAAGAACAAGATGTGACTCGTGTTAATTAGCCATTACTACTGTAGTTGCAAAATCGTTATTATTCATTGAACCAAATCATCAAACACTTTAAATGAAATATTGTATATACAAAGAGATTCAAAATTGGCGTCATTCTTTTCTCCTGAGAACGGGTAAACATATGTTTTATTTTTAGGAAAATTTGCGAGCATGCAGTTTCGACTATGTATTAAAATCATATTATTTTATTATTCAAATATTTTTTCCATATTGAATCGGCCTTTTGAAATGTAGTTTGTGTCCCCGGTTCTAATTTACCAAGTCGAATTAGTGGCTTAAAACACATAATTGGTGGTAGGTGACCTCCACTTTGTGTAATTCATTTCATTATCTTCGGGGCTGCAGCTTTCGATTTGAATAGTTCCTGTAAAT